TCTGCAGTGACAATGTAAGATGTGCTGCTGGGCCACAGTTTATGCTGAGGGTCACCCCACCTGGTGTTGAGTAGTGTTCAAAAGTCCTTTGGGAGCCCCTGATTGAGGTCATGGCCACCACACCTGCATACTGAGTGGGTCTCACCCCATCCACTGAGTGGTTTGTGTCACCTGGGAGAAGACACCTGGGGAAGGGAAAGAGAATCTCCTGTGTGTGCTGGAGGGAGGGCTGCATGACGTACTTAGAAACATAACAGAGCAGCTCCCCTTGCTCACAATGGGAACGGAGGTGCCTGGGTTACACTGAGCTGTCCTCGATTCTACTGTGGAGTCCCACTGGCATCTCAACCTTGTGTGTCCAAACTGCCCCCAAGTCCACCGTCCTGGATCCCTGTGTCTGTAGTGGAGTCCTCTTTTCATCCTCCCTGCCATCAGCGCCAAGTTCTATTGCGTCCACCTCCCAAGGACCCTCCCCAGGGCCCTCCCCAGGGCCCTCGCTGGTTCTGTGCCGTTACGGCACAGCCTCCTATCCAGTCTCTACAGCACAGCCAGGGAGCTTTCCAAAAGGCAGATCTAATCATGTCCCTCCCCAGCTTAAAACTCTTCAATCCCCAGAGAATTCTAGACAAAAGCCAAACTTTAAAGCAGAGATCACTCAGCAACGTCAGCCCCACCTTCCTCACCACTCCCCACCTGCTCCCCAGGACATGACCCAAATTCATCAGTCACCCTTCTGGGCCTTGCCCTTCCTGCTAACTTGGCCTTCAGTACTCTGTCCTCCCTCCACAGAGGCCCAGCGACCCCGCTGCTCACACAGCACAGGGCCCTGGTCCTCACACAGCTTCTCAGCATAGCCCTGACCTCAGACCACACTGGCTCTTACCTGCCCATCTATTCCACAATGGGAACCAAGAATCCAATGAGCCCTGGAGAGCAGGGCCATCTTTCCTGTGGGTCTCCTGCGGTTCCTGTCATAGCAACAGGACATTAATAATACAGTGAACACTATCCCTTCCCAGGAAGGGAGGAGGCGGAGGGCCCATAACAGAACAGAGGAACAAGTCTTTCCAGAACACCTACCAGGCTGGGGAAAGTCGTGACGGGTTCATTTGGTGGCACTGAGCTGAAGGGCTCTGCATGGGCACATCTCTGCACTGCATTTTAGTCCATTTTCTGCTGCCATACAGAACTCCACAGACTGGGCCAGACACGGCAGCTCACGCACTTTGGAAGGCTGAAACCAGCGGATCACTTGGGCCCAGGAGACCAGCCTGGGCAACATGGTGAAACCCCAGACATTACTAAAAATACAAAAATTAGCAGGGCATGGTGGTGCACACCTGTGATCCCAGCTACTCAGCTGGCTGAGGCAAGAGAATCACTTGAACCCAGGAGGTGGAAGTTGCAGTGAACAGAGATCGCACCACTGCATTCCAGTCTGGGTGATGTAGCAAGATTCTGTCTCAAATAATAATAAATAAGAAACTTAAAAAGAATTCCACAGACTGGGTGGAAAAGAAATTTGATGTCCCCTAGTTCTGGAGGCTGGCAAGTCTAAGAGCATGGCACCAGCATCTTGTGAGGGCCCTGCCATGGCAGAAGGATGGAAGGCAGAAGTGAGCATGTAAGATACAAAGCAAAGTGGTCCAGAATCATCCTTTTTATCAAGAATCCACTCCAGAGATAATGGCACGGATCCATTCCTGAGGGCAGAGCCCTCATAACATAATTACCTTGCAAAAGCCCCACCTGCCAATGCCACCATCGTAATGGCAATTAAATTTCAACATGGGCCTGGCAAGGTAGCCCACGCCTGTAATCCCAGCACTTTGGGAGGCCTAGGTGGATGGATCACCTGAAGTCAGGAGTTCGAGACCAGCCTGACCAACATGGGGAAACCCCCATCTCTACTACAAGTACAAAATTAGCTGGGTGTGATGGTGCATGCCTGTTATCCCAGCTGCTTGGGAGCCTGAGGCAAGAGAATCACTTGAACCGGGGAAGTGGAGGTTGTGATGAGCCGACATCGCACGGCCCATTGCACTCCAGCCTTGGTGACATGAGCGAGACTCCGACTCAAAAAAAAAAAATTTCAACATGAACATTGGTGGGGACATTTGAACCACAGCACTCTGTTTTGTCCATTATCTGGACTTAGAACCAATAAATTACCCCTTCCTCCCAAGCCTTCTTGGGTTGGGTGATAAGTGACAATGGGTGGCCTTCTGTGGATGATGATGCTAGGGCGGTATTTCTCAGCATGTAAATGGCCAGCGCTACCTGCATCCAAATCACCCAGGGCTTTTGAAAATGTCAGTGCCTGGGCCCCACCTCCAACCTGCTAAATCACATTCTCTGGAGTGGGCCCCAGGCTTCTGCAATTTTAACACTGGAATTTGGGCAGGACTGTGACACAGTGACCACTGCTCCTCTCCAGCTGTCCTGGATGTCCTGCAGTTGATGCTGATTAGTGTTGATGGGGTCTGAGAAACCCAAAATGCTGTAGCTCTGGGCAGGGGTATGTGGGCTCACAGCTTTGGGAACCAAGTGGAGTTAAGAGCTGTGATACAAGCTCTGAGGGTGCTTCAGGCTGAGGTGGGGGCTGAGCTCTATCAGGGAGGGAGGGATACCTGGGAAGGTGGCTGGAAGCGGACAACCCCGTGCTGGCTGCAGCTCATTCTTAGCACGCAGTCTTAGCAAGTCATGTCACTCACGGCCCAGTTAAACGGTGTATTGTCTGGGCACTGTGGCTCACACTTATAATCTCAGCACTTTGGGAGGCAGAGGCAGGCAGATGACCTGAGGTCAGGAACTCGAGACCAGCTTGGCCAACATGGAGAAACCCTGTCTCTACTAAAAATACAAAAATTAGCCAGGCTTCGTGGCAGACACCTGTGATCCCAGCTACTTGAGAGGCTGAGGCAGGAGCATTTGCTGGAACCCGGGAGGCAGAGGTTGCAATGAGTCGAGATTGCACCCCTGCACTCCAGCCTGGGCAACAGAGCGAGGATCTGTCTGAAAAAAAAATGTAAAAGTTGTACCAAAAATTGCAAAGTTCTCTTCCAGCTTCAAAACTCACGCCAGGGGCCCTGTGAGGCGAATGATATCCTTTCCTGGAAGGCTGGGCCCTGAGGTTGCTGAGGGCACTTCCATGCTGGTGCCCCTTCCATCCAGGAACTGAGCTCTGCCCTCTCGGTTTGTTTGTTCACTTCGCTCCTCCCCAGGGGCTGGAGTTACTTCTGGGAAGGAGGTTGGGCACTTCTGGGCTGAGCTGTGTTTCCATAGCGCCCGGCCGCGCCGGCCACCCTGCCAGGAAGACACCCGTTTCTCCTGGTTGACCGTGAGAGGCTTTGACTCCCTCCGTTTCCTGCCACGCTGCTGGGCCAGACTGAGGAGGAGGTACTCAGGCATGCAGTACCTTGGGACTTGCAGGTCCTGGACCCAGCCCTTCATTCAGACCAGTTGTTCTGGAAGTTTGGGTCCCAACCAACAGCAACAGCAGCAGTACGAGGAAACTTGTTAGAAATGCAAATTACTGGACCCCACCCTTGACCTACTAAATTAGAAACTCTAGGGTGGGACCAGCCATCTGTTTTTACAAGTCCCCAGGTTTCTCTGACACACACCAAAGTTTCAGAAACACTTTATGCATTTTGTGTGTGTGTGTGTGTCCTCAAAATGGGGTCTTGCTCTGTCAGTGATGGTGGAGTATAGAGGCGCCATCACAGCTCATTGCAACCTCCAACTCCTGACCTTAAGCAGTCCTCCTGCCTCAGCCCCTCAAGTAGGATGCTTGTTTTTTCTTTTGTAGAGACAGGGTCTTGATATGTTGCCCAGGCTGGTCTCGAACTCCTGAGCTCAAGCAATTCACCTGCCTTGTCCTTCCAAAATGCTGGGGTTACAGGCATGAGCCACTGCTCTCAGCCATCCATTCATTTTTCCAAAATCAGGTCTGAGCTTCAGTCCTGGGAGCCTGGGGCAGCTTCGAATGCTGGGAGAGGCACAGGCCTGGGAATTGCCATGCATAGCAGAGGAGGGGTTCAGCTCTCAACTTGGGTGGGAGAGTGACAGGAGGGAAGGAGGGAAATTCTGGTGCTCCTGCTGCTTTGAAGCTTTCTTGGGTAAATGGTGACAAGGACCACAGCCCTCCTTACCTGGGCGAGGGCTTTGGGGGATTTCAAAGCACCTTCACTTACATCACCCTGTTGGATTTCAAATTACTCCTTAGAGCAGTGCCCATAAGAAATATTGCATTTGGCCCGGTTCACATCCGGGTGCCCCCTCCAAAAAGAAAAAAAAAAAAGAAATATTGCATTTGGGCTGGGCACAGTGGCTCACACCTGTAATCCCAGCATTTGGGAAGCCGAGGCAGGTGGATCATGAGGTCAGGAGTTCAAGACCAGCCTAACCAACACGGCAAAACCCTGCCTCTACTAAAAATGCAAAAATTAGCCAGGTGCAGTGGTGCACACCTGCAGTCCCAGCTACTCAGGAGGCTGGGGCAGGATAATTGCTTGAACCCAGAAGGCAAAGGTTGGAGTGAGACCAAAAAAAAAAAAAAGAAATATTGCATGTGTCCAGTGTCTATTTCCGCTGCCTGAGCATGAGCTGCTTTGGTGGCAGGGATCATCCCTGTGTCCTCATCAAATCTTCAGTGCCCAATATAGAGAACACTCACCCCATCTTCCTGTCCAAATCCTGTATCTTCTGCAGAAGCTGGCTCCTCTGCAGGTCCTGGCAACATAGAGCACAGAGTCCATAGTTTTCCTCCCATCTGTCGATTTCCTCCGGGCCATCACAGCCTGTCCCACAGACTGAATTTCAGCTCCCTACCTTGGCCAGGGCACATCCTGTCTTAACCATTCATGGTCACTCAGCTTTGCACCCCCTTCAGCCTCCCCGCTATTTAAGCTCAGGAGAGAATATTCATCCATCTCCTAGGAGCTAAGGAGTCAGACCCTGGGCCCAGACTCCTGCCAAGATCAATGGCCTCACCTTACTGGCTTTGGCGCCATCTAGTGGACACATCTGGATCTGTGGGGACCGCAGCCCTGTCTGTGACCCAGAAGCAAAACTTACCTGGTCATACATTAATTTTGAGTCCCAAATCCACAGTCCAGTCAATGTCCCAGCCCAGCTCAGCATGTACCGCCCACTGCCTGCTCAATGCTGGGCCAGCACACCTTCACCTCACATTTACATGGACTCAAACAGAGTCTCTTCCCCTTAAATCCTAGCCTCATACTCAACATTGTGCACAAAAGCAACGATTCGTCATAACAGAGCATAATGAAACAACCCAAACATCCCTCAAGATGGGGAGCATGCATTCTATGGAATATTATGCATGGATAAAAGGATGTGCTGGATTGGAAACATCTCCAGAAGCACATTAAAGAACAATACATACAGCATGATGGCGTTTATTAGAAAAAACACACCCGAGCCTGACCCACTGTTTACATATCCACTTGAAATGTAGAGGGCGGGCGGGCTGGACACATGCCAAGCTAATCCGGGGACCTCTAGGGAGGGATGGGACTGGGGGGATGGTGAAAGGCCTTTCCTTTTACACACCTTTACTGTGTATCTTTTTATATTTCTAAGGCAAAAGGTAAATTAAACAAACAACCCCTATGTTAAAGGTGGAGGGTGTCCAGGCTCTTGGCATCTTGAGCAAAGAATTGGACCAGACACACAAAGCCAGGAAGGAATGAAGAGATTTTTTGAAAATTAAAGTACACTCCAGTGTGGGAGCAGCCCCAGCACAGGAACTCAAAAGGCCCCAGAGTTTCAACACCCCCTTGAGGATTTCACTGGTTACCTCGGGTACGCCCTATGTAAACGGAGAGAACGAAGTAGAGTCACAAAATCATCTACGGGGTACGCCCTAAGGAGAGGATATTTCCTGTTACAGCTGATGTGAATCGGCCTTATATTCCCAGCCTCCAGACCCTATTTTCCTGACTCACCTGGTGCCAGGAGCAGAATGGCTGCGGCTCTCACACGTGCTGCATGATGAGCAGTGCTGGCCTCCTGACCCAACTCTCCCACACCCACACCAGCCGCCTTCCTGAGCCACCAGGCTCCAGTGGTGGCTCCTCTCCTCTTCCTTGTCCGCCTTGCCACCTCTCTGCAGCCTCTTCCCCTCACACATGCCACTGCAGCGCCTCCCCACATCACTCCCAGCCAGGTGTACTTTGGAAAGCACCAGCTGCTGCTCCTGTTGAAGAGCCTCCATGGTGCTCAGTGGTGAGCACTGGGTGGGCTGATCAGCATCCGCACACGGGGGCAATCCCCACTCTGTGAGCTGTCATGAGAGCCAGGGCTCTGCCTCCCACCTCAAAGGCTTAAGGGGGCAGCATTCCTTCTTCCTTCCTGCGGATCTGGCAGACCCAGGCAAAGACACAGGGACAAGACCGCTCCCTCCCAGCCGCAGTACCCAGCGCCTCCCTCGAGATCACAGCCAAAGCCTGCAGAGCCCTTGCAGGGGTGGCATTCAGCGATGCTGCGACCCAGTAGCCATGGTGTCCACAGTCACCTCCCAAGACATTCCCTAGTCAGCTCCCTGAGCTCCCCACAATACTCCCAAAGACTCCTTTTCTACTTAGTCACCAGGGTTGGTTTCGATTGCTGGCCACCTCCCTTTGGGCCCCAGCCAGGCCTGTGGAGCTAGTCCTTTCCAAGTGTCACAGGTGAGTGACTGTGTGAGGGACAGCGGGTCCGCGTGATAGATAACCTGCGGTCCATGAAGGGAGATGGTACCATACCGAGAAGCTGCCAGAACCCAGATTTTAAGAGTCAGGGGATGTGACTTGCTAAAGGGAACCACGAGAGATGACTGTGCTGGGAACCTAGGCAGCTTGGTGAGCACCCACCTGGACATTCCCTGGCCTGGTAGGGCCTCCGCCTGGAGGGATGGCCCTGCAGCTTCCCCACCAGTGGGCAGGCTCGGGGAGGGCCTGGAGAGAAGAGGGGTTCCCTAGGCACACCCAGCCTCAGCAGACAAATGCTGGTGACCTATTATTTGCACTTATCGTCTTAAACAGTCACTTTCAGGCCGGAGGCTCACGTATGTAATCCCAGCACTTTGGGAGGCGGAGGCAGGCGGATCACCTGAGTTTAGGAGTTCGAGACCATCCTGGCCAACATGGCAAAACCCCATCTCTACTAAAAATACAAAAAAAAATTAGCCTAGCGTGGTGGCACGCGCCTTGTAATCTCAGCTACTGAGGAGGCTGAGGCAGGAGAATCTCTTGAACCCGGGAAGCGGAGGTTGCAGTGAGCCGAAATGGCGCCATTACACTCCAGCCTGGACAACAGAGCTAGACCCCGTCTCAAAAAACAAAACCAACAGTTACTTTATGAGCAGTGCTCATTTCACCCCGCCTCTACCGCACCCTCGGCAAGGCGCCTTCACAAGTGCCCTTCCTGCTCTCTGAAACTCTTTGCCAGCCTCCTCCCCACCCGGCCACCCTTCTTTGCAACCAACAACGTGGCGCCTCGGTTCCTCCTGGTTCCTCCCAGCGCTGTAAAACCCCTGGCCTCCTGCCAGGCTCAAGAAATGCCCTCAGATCTCTTCCGTGCTCTCGCCCAGCAGGAGACACAGCCCAGGTCCAGCCTCCGTCACGCGTCAGCGCTTAACGCCGGCGGGCCACGGTGAGGCTCCCTCACCGCCGCCTGCCCGCCCGCCCCTGGAGCCTTCAGCGGCTCGGGGCTCAGGCCTCCCTGCCTCCCCGTGCCCCCTGCGCCACCCCCGCGCCAGCCGTGGGAACCCTGCTTCCGCTCCTGGGCTGTGCCCGCGCCCGGTCCTCCCTCCCGCGGTTGCTGCGGGTCTCCCAGGCCGGGCCGGGGCTCTGGACTGACGCCCCGGAAGCGGCCGGCGCCGCAGTGAATTGTCGGCTCTTGCTTTGGCTTTTACGGGCCAGAAAGCTGCGCCTCCAACCCGGCTGTTTATCAGGGCGACTTTTGTTTTAAAAAAAAAAAAACCTGGGGGTGCTGCGGAGGAGCCCCCAACCGGGTGGCCCTCACAGCGGCTTCGGGCCTCGCCCGGAGGGCGCGCGAAGCCCGGCGGTCCCGGGACGTCGGGGGCGGGAGCCGCGCGGGGCGTACGCGAGCCCCAGCAGCCCGGAGTGCAGTCCCGCTGCGCCGTGGGAGCCACTCCAGCGCCTGGGCTGCTCCCGCCCAAGACCAGCCAAGCGGCGGAAACGCCGGGCCTGGGCCCTGCCGAGCCGCGGGGTGGCCAGGCCGGAACTTTCCCGTGCGCTCTCAGCGGGACTGTGGCCGCGGAACAAAGGGGTGCGGAGGTGGCGGAGGGGGGGGTGGGGGTAATCGCTGGCGGGGCGGAGCCTGGGCGTCTGGAGCTGGGGTCTCCTCACCCCCCGGGCAGGGCGGGGTTTGGCGGCCGCGCCCCTCCGCGGGCTCCCCAGACGCCAAGCCTCGCGGTAACAACGGCAGCCACCATGTCGGCTCCCCGGGCCCCTGCTCAGTGCTCGGGACAGGAGGGCGCTACTCGCCCGATTAAGGCCAGGTGTCACTATTGGTGTCACAAAATTTCGTTGTTTCCAAGCTATGGTTCCTTTTTGTAGTGGAGGAAGCGCGGCCGCCAGGCCCGGTCGCCCCCAGGTGCATGGTCCCCCGACCGCCCGCCGCTCCGGGACTCCGTGTTCCCCCATACCGCGCGCGCTGCGGCCACCAGAGGGCGCCCGGCCGCCAATCACCCCGCTCCTCCGCCTGGGCCGCGGCCACCCACCGAGCGCAGGACCCGGGCCGGGCGGGGGAGGTCAGCGGTGGGCCGGCCACTTCCGGCCCCTGAGCGGGGCGGCCTGCTGCTGCTGGCGGGTGGGGGGACAATCCCGGGGTCCCTTTCCCCGACCCAAACCAACAGAGGCCGCTGGCCAGAAAACCAACTTTGCTGTCCGGCCTGGGATGGGGACTGCCACCTCAATGGCAGCACTGCCAAACTCAGTAAGACATCTCTTTAGGCACAGGGGGACAGAGGAAATGGTGACTCAGGCTCCAGGACTGCATGGGAAGTCTGGGCCATATCTTCGTCCACCAGCCTCAGCTCACCCTGGCCACTCAACCTCAGCCTTCCGGGGCCCCTCGGTTCTGGAGAGGGACCCATCATAGCAAATACCATTGCTCACTTGCTGTTTTTAAATCTCCTGAAGGTTAGAGAGAGATCCAAGATGGCCAAATATCAGCAGCTCAGGGTTGCAGCTATCAGTAAAGGCGCAGGGAGTGAGTGGACACCAGACTTCCAGACGAATTTTTGTTGCCTAGGGACCAGGAGATTCCCAGCGGAGGAGCCCCGTGGGTCGCCAGCGCGACTCTTTTGGCCGGGGCGGCGGTTCTCAGTGCAGAGTATGCGGGACTGGGTGCCCTTTTCTTTGGCGTTTGGAGCTCCGGGAAGGCACAGTTGCCCATTCAGCTGATTGAAAGGGGGACTGAAGCAGGGAGCCAGACCTGGAGATTCCTGGGCAGAAAAGCGCCACGAATCTCAGCGCTGTTGTTTCGGCCAGCGTGGTCGCTGCACAGGAAATTGCATAGATCCCGGCGCCTTTTAGGCGGGCGACTGGGGCACCTGGGAGCGAATCGGCTGTTCAATTAAGAAAAGAAAAAAAGGGGGCTCCGAGATGGGGAGCCAGGTGATCGGGCTTGGCTGGTCCCGCCCCTGCAAAAAAACAGCAATTGGAAACCTGATGGTTGAGACTTTCACAGCAAGCACAGCTGAACCCAGGAAGGTCCAGTTCTGTGGGGGAAGGGCGTCCACCGAAGGAAAACAAAGAAACAAATAACATCACCACCAATAAGCTGGACATCCACTCGGAGACCCAATCTGAAAGTCAGCAAATACAAAGATGATAGGTGGATAAATCCACAGAGATGGGAAGAAACCAGCGCAAAAACGCTGAAAACATCGGAAATCAGAATGCCTCTCCTCCAGGGGATCACAGCTCCTCATCAGCAAGGGAACAAGGCCTGATGGAGAATGAGTGTGATGAATTGTCAGAATCAGGCTTCAGAAGGTGGCTAATAAGAAACTTCAAGGGCCGGGCGCGGTGGCTCAAGCCTGTAATCCCAGCGCTTTGGGAGGCCGAGGCGGGTGGATCACGAGGTCAAGAGATCGAGACCATCCTGGTCAACATGGTGAAACCCCGTCTCTACTAAAATACAAAAAATCAGCTGGGCATGGTGGCGCGTGCCTGTAATCCCAGCTACTCAGGAGGCTGAGGCAGGAGAATTGCCTGAACCCAGGAGACGGAGGTTGCGGTGAGCCGAGATCGCGCCATTGCACTCCAGCCTGGGCAACAAGAGCGAAACTCCGTCTCAACAAAAAAAAAAAAAAAAAAAAGAAAGAAACTTCTGTGAGCTAAAAGAACATGTTCTAACCCAATGCAAAGAAACTAAGAACCTTGAAAAAAGGTTTAATGAAATGCTAAAGAGACTAGACAATTTAGAGAGGAATATATGTGAATTAATGGAGCTGAAAAACACAATACGAGAACTTCGCGAAGTATGCACAAGTTTTAGCAGTCAAATTGATCAAGCAGAAGAAAGGATATCAGAGGTCGAAGACCAACTCAATGAAATAAAATGAGAAGACAAGATCAGAGAAAAAAGGGTAAAAAGGAGTGAGCAAAGTCTCCAAGAAATATGGGACTATGTGAAAAGACCTAATCGAAGTTTGATAGGTGTACCTGAATGTGACGGACAGAATGAATCCAAGCTGGAAGATATTCTTCAGGATATTATTCAGGAAAATTTTCCCAGCCTAGCAAGGCAGGACAATATTCAACTCCAGGTAATACAGAGAACACCACAAAGATATTCCTCAAGAAGAGCAACCCCAAGGCACATAATTGCCAGATTCACCAGGGTTGAAATGAAAAAGAATATGCTAAGGACAGCCAGAGAGAAAGGTCAGGTTACCCACAAAGGGAAGCCTATCAGACTCACAGCAGATCTCTCAGCAGAAACCCTACAAGCCAGAAGAGAGTGGGGGCCAATATTCAACATCCTTAAAGAAAAGAACTTTCAACCCAGAATTTCATATCCAGCCAAACTAAGCTTCATAAGTGAAGGAAAAATAAAATCTTTTGTGAACAAACAAGTACTCAGAGATTTCATCACCACCAGGCCTGCTTTACAAGAGCTTCTGAAGGACACGCTACATAGAAAGGAACAACAAGTATCAGCCATTCCAAAAATATACTAAAAGGTAAAGAGCATCAACATAATGAAGACTCTACATCAACTAATGGGCAAAACAGCCAGCTAACATCAAATAGCAGTATTAAACTCACATACATTATTATTAATCCTAAATTTAAATCAACTAAATGCCCCAATCAAAAGACACAGACAGGCAAATTGGATAAAAAGCCAAAACCCATCCGTATGCTGCATTCAGACCCATCTGACATGCAGGGATACATAAAGACTCAAAGGGATGAAGGAAGATTTACCAACCAAATGGAGAGCAAAAAATAATAATAATAAATAAAAAGCAGGAGTTACAATTCTCGCCTCTGATAAAATAAACTTTAAAGCAACAAAGATCAAAAGAGGCAAAGAAGGACATTACATAATGGTAAAAGGATCAATGCAACAAGAAGAGCTAACGATCCTAAATATATTCACACCCAATACAGGAGTACCCAGATACATAAGGCAAGTTCTTAATGACTTATAAAGAGACTTAGACTCCCACACAATAATAGTGGGAGACTTTAACATCACATTGTTAATATCAAACAGATCAATGAGACAGAAAATTAACAAGGATATCCAGGACTTGAACTCAGACCTGGAACAAGTAAACAATAAACATTTATAGAACTCTCCACCCCAAATCCACAAAACATACATTCTTATCAGTACCACATCATACCTACTCTAAAAGTGACTACAGGCCGGGCGCGGTGGCTCAAGCCTGTAATCCCAGCACTTTGGGAGGCCGAGGCGGGTGGATCACGAGGTCAAGAGATCGAGACCATGCTGGTCAACATGGTGAAACCCTGTCTCTACTAAAAATACAAAAAATTAGCTGAGCATGGTGGCGCGTGCCTGTAATCCCAGCTACTCAGGAGGCTGAGGCAGGAGAATTGCCTGAACCCAGGAGGCGGAGGTTGCGGTGAGCCGAGATCACGCCATTGCACTCCAGCCTGGGTAACATGAGTGAAACTCCGTCTCAAAAAAAAAAAAAAAAAAAAAGTGACTACATAATTGGAAATAAATCACTCCTGAGTAATTGCATAGCATTTCACAGGTTTAAATGAAATATTGGTTGGCTGCTTGTTATTTTCCTCCCTTATTCCTTCCTGTATCCATTGTTAAGCACAATTATTAACATAAAAGTGGTTTTCAATACCCATTTTTAGACTGCATTCTAGCCTGGGCAATAAAGCAAGACTCCCGTTCTCTCTCCCTCTTTCTCTTCCTCTTTCTTTCTCTCTTTTTCTTTAAAAAAAAAAAAAAATCTCCTGCAAGTTGGTGGAGCATGGTGGCTTACAGCATTTTGAGAAGCGGAGGCAGGTGGATCATTTGAGGTCAGGAGTTTGAGACCAGCCTGGCCAACACAGTGAAACCCCGTCTCTACTAAAAATACAAAAATTAGCTGGGCGTGGTGATGTGAACCGGTAATCCCAGCTACCCAGGAGGCTGAGGCAGGAGAATCACTTGAACCAGGGAGGCAGAGGTTACGGTGAGCCAAGATTGTGCCATTGCACTCCAACCTGGGCAACAGAGTAAGACCCTGTCTCAAAAAAGCAAACAAACAAAAACAAAAACAAAATCAATCTCCTGAATGTTGTGAATTTTTCATTGAATCCAAAGAGCTGGCGGAAGGAGCACAGGCTCAGCAGCCTCTCAGCTGCAGAAGAGGCGGAAGCCAGTGCTGGTTTGATGGCGCTCTCTTCATTCCCATTGAGGAAGGAAAGCTGCCCCTCCCCAGCAGCCCTGGCCTCCCCTGGGGTGATGCTTAGGCCTGCCCTGGTGCACAGTGAGGGTTGAATCCTGAGAAGCCTACGGGGAGGGGCGCCAGACCTGGGGCCTCAGGTGGGAAGCACCCAGCTGCCTTCATTACAGCTCCGGACCTGTCTTTCCCACCACCCCATCCTGCAGCCTGAGAGGGCTCCATCCTCTGTGACCAGGCAGAACACCTCAAGCAGCGATTGCCTCCATCGTTTTCTGTTTATTCTTTATTCATTTGTCTTACCCACAGTTGCTGACACTTGTTTCGAATCAGGCTCTCCAGCAGGGGTGAGGGTGGAAACAAAGACATTTTTATAGGGGTCATGGAGAGTGCTTCTTACTTCCTCATACTGAGGAGCTGGGGGGACACTCTGACTTCACCATTTACTGGCTGCGTGACCCACAGCCAGTCACCCAGCCTCTCTGAGACTGTTTCCTCATCTATAAAATGGAACCAAGAGGGCCTTGCCCAGAGACCTCCACTGTGAGTCTTGGGCATAGGCTGTGAAGGGTTTCAGTGGAATGTCCTCTGGCCACAGCAGAAAGATAGCCTGGGGCTCTGGAGATAGGCCAGACCCTTCTCTCGGGAGGCCCTTCATCTCTCTTCTACCTTCCTTCACCCACCTGGGTTTCCTCCCTCTTGATCAGTGATGTCCGAGGGCTTGCTGCCTGAATTCAATTGGCTGATTGAATTTTTTTTTTTTTTTTTAAAGGCAGAGTTTCACTCTTGTTGCCCAGGCTGGAGTGAAATGGCACAGTCTCGGCTCACTGCAACCTCCGCCTCCCAGGTTAAAGTGATTATCCTGCCTCAGCCTCTTGAATAACTGGGATTACAGGCATGTGCCACCACGCCCAGCTAATTTCGTATCTTTAGTAGAGATGGGGTTTCTCCACGTTGATCAGGCTGGTCTTGAACTCACGACCTCAAGTGATCCACCCACCTTGGCCTCCCAAAGTGCTGGGATTACAGGCGTGAACCACTGCGTCCGGCGACTGATTGAATATTGAGGGTCACTGAAGAT